TCCGGTTTTCTCCAGTCCTGGTCTGTGCTACTTTGAGTACTTAAACGTAAACACTACATGACACCCTTCCTGCCTCATCTAAGCTTATGCTTTTCATTCTTTGGTGTTTTCTGAAGCATCAGTAAACCCACTCAGCTGGAATTGTATAAAACCTGAAAATACAGCCCTTTATTTCTGTTCTCCAAATCACTGAAAATGGTAGTTAAAACCATGTGGGATAGTGAATACTATAAGGGCAGCTATAAGGCCACAGATCACTTGCAAATTAGAAAAAAGTGTGCTTCCTATGGGCAGATGCTAGCCTGAGGTGGTGCCCCTGGGATGGAGGGCAAGGGCAGGCTAGGAGTTAGTCCTGCTTGCTCCCACACCTGGGCTCCAGTGTGCCAACGACGACCTCTCATTAATTGCCTTGGAAGGCCCTGCTAATGTTCTTGGGCTATTCTCAAAGCCCCTGAGCTGGGGCCTACTTTGATCCTTTAGTTGGGCGTATCAAGTAGGATAAAGGCCAAAGCAGGAAGAGTGAGTGATAGCTTAGTGAAATTTTAAATTCAGAAGACAGGGTCAAAAGCAGGTGAATCTGAATTTGTAGAGATAGTATATAAACATGGGTTATATTTCCAGAAATGGATTATAATTCCAGCTTGGCCACTTACTAAGCCACTGAAACTCCATTTAAAAAAACAATTGTAAAGTAATAAAAATGCCATGTTTCATCGAATTTAAGACTACATCACTGTAAGACCAACTCTCAATACACAAGTTTTTAAAATCTGAAAAAATGGCCAAATGGGATGGTTATGCATCCTGATGGCACCGGTGTTAAGAGAGTAAAAACTGTGTGTCTTAGGATCTATGATATATGGTAATGCCCACCTTACAGGCCATGTCTCTGCCCTGTGAGGATTAAACAAGACAGCACGTGTCAAGTTCTCAGCCAGCGCTAGTTTAGTTCTCGGTAAATGGTGGAGGCTGCTGTTGTCTTCCCATTCAGAGCTGGCAACTACAGTAACAAGAGGATGCACTTGGCTCAGATCGTTATGCTGGCAAATCAATTTGGGTGCTGTCTTTTCCTTACTCTGGGATAAGATATGAGACACCAACATACAGGAGGTAGGTCCAAAGGTAACGCTCAAGTGAACACTGAGTACAGAACATGCCTAAAACTGACAGAAAAAAGCGTTCTCCTTATTCTGCTGATGGAGACTCAGATCTGAGATGTGATTTTCCCAAATCCTGAATGTACAAGAGGAACATTCTTTAAAAAAAGGGTATTGGTGCAGTGGCGGGTTGCAGTCCTCCTTTGAATTGGAGTAGGGGAGAGACACTTCCAGAATGTCTTGCTAGCTTTTCTAGTGTTTGGTGTTTTTTCTTCTCCTCTCACTAACGGCTTCTTCTAGTACATTCCCTGTGAGTTTTGAATCGATTGCTCAGTGCCTCCCTGAAAACCCTCTGTGCAGCCTCCTGTGATGTGAGTTTTCATTTAGGCTGGAGGGGTCTGTGGAGGGATGACCAGGTGCCAAGAGTTGTCATTCAAACTCTTTTCACCTGCTTCCAAAGCAGTTGGCTCCTGCACTGGCCTAGGAGTGGGCCTGACGCCAGCCAACGGCCATTCATTGTCCTTTGTTGCCAAAGACAGTGCTGCCAGTGGTAGAAAACTGATGTAGAAAGACTAACTCCAGTTCCAGTAAGGGAACAGGCGCCTGGTTTGTGCCACCGCCTTGAAGCAGTCTACTTTTCTCACAGTTTGGGCTCATTTTTAGAGACATGATGGATGGCAGTAGGGTGTGTATGAATGTGTTCAGAACGTAGCCCAGGTGACGAAAAGCAGCCTAGAGCTCTGTGTAAAGGCTGAGGTACAATAACAATGGCTCTCCCTGTAGAAACAAAGGCCTTGTTATTTTTCGGGGAGATTCTAAATTGGTTACTTGTTCCATTTCTGATTTCGACTTGTTTAAATGTCAGGATAGAGATAAATGGTGTATAGAGAAGGACAAAAAGGAGCTTGTGGCATGAGTTTATCTATCTGTTTGGGCTTATAAGAAAGGAAAATAATACAAAAAGTTTTGATTGATTACACTGTGTAAAATTTAGAGTATTATGTGATCACTAAAGAATTAATAGCCTTTAAGGATTTTGAGAATGAAACTCAAGAGGCAGCTCCAGATTACAATGTCTGAGGAAAAACAAATTACCGAGGAGGCACTGGCGACCTGAACATCTGGGCTGGCTGGTTCGTAGTTCACAAACACAGGCTTTGGTCTCCTCTGCAGGTCGATGCCATGTGCACTCCTTGCGTCCCAACCCTGCCTCAGGGTCCAGAGGTCGGACACGGCACAGTTTGGGAGTGGAGCTGAGTCACCATCCCACACCTATCATGGTATATCTGTGCCATGCTCCTGCCTCCTGACTGCTAGATTCCCTAAAGGACTCCTTGGGGACTGCAAATTCCATTTGATTTAATTTCTCAGGAAAAAATGCTCTCAGTGATGTCATAAATTTCCTGAAACTAGTTTCCTTCAAGATTGCCTTGGAAATTTTAAATATATATACAAGTTCTGCCTCCTCAACTTTAACCAGGTGTCTGAGACGCATGATGGTGGGCTAACATCCCTGGGATCAAGTGCTGTGAGGGGCTCAGTAGATGGGGCTCCGTTTCACTGATCCCTTCACCTGGACACCTTTGTATCAAGGACGCAATTTGAAAGGCTGGTGGCCAGGAGATGGGTCTTAGTTTGCTATCTGTATAAAGTGAAGTGAAGACTGACATTGGCTTCATTAGCACCTATGGATTAACCACTTTCTCAGTAACAATGGAAGTTCGAATCTCAACATCCGTGTAAACTCTATTTGTATTTTGGAAAAAACAAAAAAATTTACTTGCCCAGGGCTTCTGCTGTCATATGTAGACTCTGTGTGTGAATTACAAACAGACGCCCACTCTGGGCAGATGGATTATAGCTCTTACTCAGGAGGCCCCTGGCTCATGGGCAGCATGCAACCTACACCGTGTAGGGCAGCCTCCAGCCTGCCTAATCTTGAGAACGTGCAAACTGCATATGTTACTGCACCAATATTATGGAGAAGTTATAATTATACTCATTGTACTTGGAGTAAAAACTCAGTACATTAGTATTGTCCATCGGTGTCTTCCACCGTTAGTCTATTTCCTCAATGTTGAAACAATTTTATTTTGATTTATAGACTTAGATAATTTTCAAGAACAAAACTATATTATTTTTTAGGGAGAAGCAGTTTATAAAAGGTCTTTCCCTCCAGTCCCTCCAAATATGAAAATGGACTACTGGTCCCTTGAGGTCAGACAATCCTGACAAACTGGCCCCGGATGCACTGCGATCTCCTTCCCCTTTCCTTACTGTGCCTTCCAGGGGACTCAAGCCAGGTAAGCCATCACTGCCGTGCTCAGCGGGGTGTCTGCTTTCCTGCCTGAAGTCCTGGCAGTATCCATGGGACATCAGCCTACAGCCAGTTTCCACCTTGGTTTGGGTCATGGAGCCCCTTGAGAACTGGAGAAGCTATAGATACCTCTAGAAAAATGCATACACTCCTTTTCATGTGGCTTTATAGTATTCAGGGATCCAGGCACAGAAAGAGATTTTTAATCTTCTTTTCTTTTCTTTTTCTGTACCAGGCATCTTCTGGAAGTCTGCTGATGCTATGGACTCACTCTCAGACTAATGGTTTTAGTGCATAAAATAAAATATGGATAGTTCTAAGAGAAACTAATTATATTACAATAGTTATCAAAATTTTAAACCTTTTTGTGATGTAGTTTTATATAAATGCATTAAATAACAAGAACCAACGATGAATCTAATAACTACTGTAAATTTGTACTGATGGGCATCAGAGATATTTTGCAATGTCTGCTGCACTGTGATGTGACAGGAGAGCATCTGTGACGTCCACTGGTGACAGGTGCTGCCAGTGCTCTGGGGTCTGCTGCCTGTGTTCACCACTGAGGTAGTGCTAAGTTTCAGTGAGAGGTGGGACATTTCTCTCCCATGCAAGCTCCTGGACCTTCCTTCAAAACCCCCTGCGATACTGGGCATGGCTGTAGGCGTGGCTCAGGGCCTGGCTGCCCAGTCCTTTCTGCCTTAGGATACAGAGGGGAACTTGGGCTCCTGTTTCCCCAACCGAGATAACCTGAGGCTTTCGTGATTTTCCATTATTCTGTTAGGAAAGCTAAAGGGGCACTCACCGTGTCCTCTGTTCTGTCCTCATGTGTAGGGCAGTAAAGAGGGAAAGAAGAGGGACGCCGGGGGACTGTGAACAGGTGACTGCTGGCCTCCTAAGGACAGGGGTGAAGGTACAAAGAATCCCCGCTGTGAAGCTGCCCCAAGCCCGGGCATGGGTCTCTGTTGTGTCTTCCGGCTTGGAGGGAGAGAAACCTCTTCCTCTTGCATTGAGAAGGATTTGAGGCCCACTTTATTGAGGCTACCTCTTGCCTTTCCATCTCCTTTTCAGGGAGGCTCACCCAAATGGGGTAACCTGTTCAGCAACCTGCACCCTGAGGGAGGCGCAACAGCACATTTTTACTTCTCATCCTCCCTCTGGCTACTACTGAATGGTGCTAAAAAATGCATGTCTGTGCCAAAAATGCTAAATATAAGCTTTGGGAAGTGTAAAAGTGTTTCACAGCACTTGAAAATGCAAAATAATGTCACTGTAATGGTGTGGTTATAACTGGCTGAACCAGTTATAACCACAGAAAAACCAGGGAAATGCAGAACTTTGTCCTTGGGATGCTAGAGCACAGGCCTGCATGAGGATGAGAGATTCAAGTTCTAGACACAAAAAAGAGCTTTTCCTGATGGGTGGTGGGAGAGACGACAAACTTCCAAGCAAAGTCTCTCAAAGCAGCTTCCTTGGCAGGGCTTCTCCTGGAACTGGGCTTCCCGGCTATTTGAAAGCACATGGTGACCTGATTTGTACCAGGAGAATGGTCAGTGAAAGGGGCTCAGAGAATACCGTCTGCTTACCAATTTTACGTCTTGCTTCATTTATACTTTCTCCCAGGGCTTTTGCTTCAGAAAATCTGGAGGAAAAAATGAAAATTTTACTTTCTCTGTTAATTCTATGTTTTAAAAATATTTCTGAAAGGTTGCCAAAAAATATTATAGAACATAAAACTTTATTAAAAGACATAAGATAAAATCTAAGCAAGTAAAATATATTAGGCTTAAAAGTGAAAAAATTATAGTAATCATAAGTATTATGAAATTTTACTCTATTCAGCATAAAATTTTCATTATCATAATCTTTAATTCAGTATCTTTTATTTATATTATATGATACAAGGGTTCCAGAATAAAGCATGATTGTAAGGTTTCTATTTGGGGATACAGACTTAAGTACCATTTTTTTTTCCTGATTATAAAGTGATATACCAGTGGTGAGAAAGCTACAGCTGGTTATAAGACAAATCCAGCCTCTTACTTGTTTCTGTAAATAAAGTTTTATTGGAATCCAGCCATGTCCATTCATTTATGCATCATCTCTGTTTGTTTTAATGCTACAACAACAGAGATGCATACATGGGACAGAACTGCATGGCCTACAAAGCTGAAAATATTTACTACATGGCCCTTTACAGAAAAGGTTTGCTGATTTCTGTTGCATACAATTATTAAACTGGATCTTGAGAATTGAAAATAGGAAAGAAAATCCCTAATAATACTCCATATCCCACCCAGAAATAAGCACATTTTGTATACATATCCATCCAGTCTTTTTCCTAGCCAGTCTTTACAGGGTTGAGACCATACTATATGTATGATTTTTATGCCTTGATTTTTTTTCACTTAGCATTATAAATCTCTCCCTATATCATTAGATACTCTCATCTTTCATTACTGCATATCAGTCTACCAGATGGTTGCAATGACGTTTCATTAATGATTCCTCTGTATTTTCTAACATAGATATTTCTGAGACACCTAATGTTAAGTCCCAATTTGTGCTGGAGAAGCAGTATAGGATATGGCCTGTGTGAAAGACACGTGCACAGGGTATGGTCCCTACAAGGGGTGTGCCCTTACAAAATGTGAGTTGTTTCGCTTCCTCTCCTTTCC